TAGTGGTAAACAAAGATTGTGGTTTACAAAGATTGTGGTTTAGTCCCACTTGTGATCCTCACTTGTAGTGTGGTGATGCCACCCTTAACGAGATTACTTCAAGCGATGTTTATCGTTGGGAGATTACTCCGATCAATGATATGATTTTCCACCAGCTACTTCGATGCTGGGCTCGATATGATTCTCTGCCCGTTGCTTTAGCACATGCGTGACTTGAGTTCTGCTAGCAGTTTTACCCTATACGTGATTTGTTTCTCCTCTGACTAGCCACTGTGCGTGATTTGACTATGTCCAGGGGAGGACCACTCACTAATCTGATATGATGTGAATTGATTTGTATACAATGTGTGATAGCCTTGGAGATACGTAGATAACCATGATATGAATTGATACGATACTCTAGTAACTAAAGTGTGTTGTGGAGAATGATATGACTGACTTTGATTTGGCTTCGAGAGTAAGCCTAATGATATGTATGATGATCTTTGAGGATGTTGGGGATGATGATATACTCCCATATTGAAGACTTAAGGATACTAATATGCTCTCAATTCGGAGATGTTTGCTAGATTTTGTCGATGCACTAGGAGTGCAATAATTATTATATGTCCAATGTATGTATACAATTCTAATTATGTGTACCACTCACTGAGAATTATAGTATTCACCCATTTGATATCATATGCAAATAAATAGGCCACTAGACAGAGCGTGGCAAAGGTCATCTATTGACATACTAATTTTGGCATCTGATAGGTCCCTTATTTTAGTCACTTTACTGAGCAAGTCCATATTAGCATCCGCATTCTAAGTTTTAAGTTTTCAAAAAAAATGTATTTTGGATATTGTAAGCATTGAGTGCCATGTAATATTTTATACTAAGGGTTGTTATGTACGAACCTTCCTTGAATGGTCAATGTGTGACCTTATGATGATTATATGAAACATGCACCAAAGATGGTGTACCATGTTGAACTCGAATTTTATTTATGGATATGACATATGAAATCCCTGGGCTATATGTTATTTGATTTTGAACCCTCAAGCTTGCTCGAGTCTCGTGGGCTTTGCTTGGCAAGCTCATGTGCTAGTCATAGACCCCTGGGTTTGGATCATGACAATTTGATCCAGCTAGTTGGCCATTGTGCATGATTATGTAAATCCAAGGGAAGACCACTCATTGAATGTGTTGAATTTTATAGTTATGCATCAATTGCACCATGATATAGAATCATATTGTGATTGGTGGATGATTACTGGCTACGAAGTAAGCAAATTGTGTATTTGGAGTTGGAAATTAGCTTGACAACTAGAGTGTGCTCATTAAGCTTAGCTAATGATGGCTTATAGTGGTAAGCCTCAATTGATACACTTGATTTGGAGACACAAGTTTGATCAACAAAAGAAAGTTGAGTATGCTGTTGCGATTTGATTATGACAAGATATAGTTTAATGAGTTGTGCATGCAGGATATTAGAATGATTCTCACACTTGAACTTTGGGGTTGTTTGATAAACAACTATGTATTATATTAAAGATGTATCTTCAAATTATAAATATTAAATATGCTTAATTATGCTGTGTAAGCATCCCTATCTCATTGAGTATTAAATGACTCACTATGTTTGTGTACCATGTGCAGATAAGTGATGCCACAGACCTATATGTGGGTTACCTTCAATGCTCAGACGAACGAATTTTAGCATTCGGTAGGCTTTCCACCCCACGAGTCACTTCGTTAAGTCCAATTTATCCTAGCTTCTGCATTTTTTTTAAGTTTTAGAAAATGTTGTATATTGTAGGCATTGAGTGTCATATGTTATTATGTTAAAAATGTATGATACGAACTCAATGGTTGGCTATTGTACGGTCTTATGAATGTAGTGAATTAATGAAATTGTGTGACGTAATGAAAGATATTTTGCTGATGATATTATGAATTTAATGTTAAGTACTTGAATTCTAATTCTTCCTCGGGTCTCATAGGCTTGCTTGCCAAGATCGTGTGTATCAGTGACGAATTCCTTGGTTTGGGTCATGACAGAAGCTTGAATCATTTAAATGATTGTTAACCTGATTTCAAAGTTATTAGCTTGTATTTTAGGCCTTTGGATGCTAGAGTGAAGACCTTGCATGAGAGAAACAACATAATCTTTCAAAGACTTGTTTTCTTCTACTAGTTGACCTTGAATTTGCTACTCTCCTTGGTGTTCAACCATTGCTTCTATGTGAGTTAAAAGTTGTGAATTTTCTGTCCAAAGTCTTCGAAAAGTCTTTTCGATTTCTGGATGAAAAGGAACAATTTCCAAATTTCTCACTCTTCAAGTACAATGACCAAAAGTACATAAGAAAAAGGAAATACAAAGTTTGAATTAAGTCTGGGATTGCTTGGTATTAATATTAGCAAAAAGTAAGAAAACAATTCCCCAGCAATGGTGTTAAAAACTTGTTGTCAATTTTATCACGTAAGTGTATGTATAGTAACAAGTAATATAATAGTAAATAATGTGACGAATCCTACAGAGAATTGTAAAAACTTTTGCTAAATACTAAAATTAAGACAACCTAATCTTATTCAAACAATCAAATTAAAGTGATTAATTAAAAGCAAAACTAAAACTAAATAATAACCATATTAAATCTAAAACTTGATTGGCAAAACTTTACTAAAAAAATTCAATTAATAAAAGCCTAAGATTACAATATCCCTCTATACTTCATCTGAATCTTGTCTCTTTCTTTAAAATTACTTCAATGAATTGAGTTGCTAACCTAAAGCCCAATTTATTTATAAGTCTTTGTTGAGGTTCTTATAAAAATATTTCTCCCAATTAACTTACTATATGTCTATGTAAATTGAACTGAAGAAAGATTCATTAAGTTCATTCTCTAATATTAGATACCTATGACCTATACGTATATGTGTATCTTATATGTAAATCCAATCACCTAATCAACTAAGTGAATTTAAGCATTTGTTATTCCATTCATGGCCTACTCTAAACTCTCTCCATCAAGTTGTATTTAAGTTTCCAGATCTGCTAGGTAATGATCAAGCAATTAGAAGCATTAAACACAGAATTGGAATAATCAACTCATATTTCATTGATTATATGCAAAAAAAAAAGATAAAGAATTCAAACTACATGTTAAGTTCAATTGAAATCCTAGATAAAGTAAATTAGTTCATGCTGAATAATAAAAACATAAACCAAAGAAATTGAACCATTGTTACAATTCAAGAAAAACTAAGAATAGGAGGCGAAGAACATGAAGTTGAAGGTTTGTTAAATCTTCAATCTTCAATCCTACACAATCTTTCTTGGTTTCATGGTTGTTTTGTGGACACTTTTTTTCAGAGAAACCTAGTAAAAACCTTTCTCTTCCAAGAAGACCTAATTTTGACTGAATGTGGGAAAATGAAAGTTGATATATTGAAATGGCGCCATAACACTAGCTTCTTGACACTACGGCTCCCCAGCCTCGGATGAATGTATGGCATCTTGTCTTCTTGCGGCACCATAGCACTGGCTTCCTAGCACTGTGGCCTTCAACTCTCGAGTGGCACTATAGTGCCTTTTCTCATCACGATGCTATGACCCCCAAAGGCTCCATCTTGCCTTATGTTGTCTTTACTACACTACTTCACCTTGTACACTATTTTCTGCTTCTTTTATGTTGAACTAGGTAAAGTGGTAAATATGAAAATTATAGCCCTGTCTCTTAGTTTTCTAATGGCTTAAGAATCACATCAATTGGACTTCTAGAATGAGAGTTATGCTCAAAATACTGCATTATGTACAAAAGAAGCACTAGCCATACTTACACTCTTCATCATTAATTGAGGTCTTTTCATATTGGAACCTTCAAAAGCAATAAACTAAATAAGTAATAACTAAACTAAAAGGAATTTAACATAAAATTAAATTAAAATAACTAATCAAGCTTTAAAGTAAGTTAAGAAAAATAACTAAAAACTCCTAATTTCAAACCTAAATCCCAAGAGCTTAATTATTTTAGCACCCAAAATGAGGCAAAATAACTCCATGTAATAGAGTTATCAATTCTCCAAGTACAAACTTGCTAAAATACACTCTTTTTACTTTCTTTTTCAACCATTCTTTCAACCATCATTAATTCATCCATAAACATAACACAATAATATAGAAGGATTTACAGCAAATGAGAAGGAATTCTATTAATAATTATCACTAATACATAATTCATCAAAGTTCAAGTTTTCATTAAATTTTTACCATATATAAAATTGGGATTTCTCAACTGTGTCCGTAGAATTTAGGATAGTGAATAATCTGTTTGTACAATTGCCAAACTATGTCAAGGCATTAGTCACTCATCTCGGTACTGTGTAAAGATTGGTGTGGGGGATACATGTGATCATGCGGAAACCGTTTAAATGGTAGGGCTCATGATGCAAAGTCTGCATTCTATAGATATGATAGGTTTGGGGGGCTAACTTTGAGCTAACCAATGTTTGATGCATATACAGAAACTTTTGAACACTTTATTTTGATGAATAAGAAGCATGCTTTTCAAATTAAATAAAAAGAAAAAAGAAAAACCTGTTTGCTTTAAAAGAAAAAAGCTGTGTTTTCTCTCTTTCTCTACAAGCTATTTGTCTTCTCCTTTTTTTATGGTTTGTTATTGTTTCTTTTTGAGATTTATACATATTATAATTAGAAAAATAAATATTTTAATATTTTTAAACTAAAATTACGTAAAATATATGTTTTATTAACAAAATACATTTGTTTCGACCATGCTGGGCCGGATCTTAGACCTGGAAACCTAAGCCTTGAGCCGAGCATACGGGGTTGGACGAGTAACCCGGCCGTTGTATGCCTTTAAGAAAAGGATAAAAGAGGGCGTTGACAATGAACGTACAATGACGTGTGTAGAACATCACAAGCCATTTACCATCACCAGGTAATTACTCCAATATGCTAGAAATCAGCCTTGTCAAGTCATCTCCGTCTGACTTAATTTCTCTCTGGTTTTGAAACTTTCTTACTCTCAACAGCCTAACACCTCATTTCTCTGTCTCTCCTGCCCAGACCCAGCCTCCCTTGCTTGATCTGATCCCCAGCTCAACTTTGCCTCGATCCCTTTGATGTGTAGCAGCTTTGAGTTTCATCGAAAGACATCAACTTGTTTTTCTTTTCTTATTCTCCATTTGTGAGGGATGAATAGCACAGAGGATTCCAACGACTCTCCACAAATGGGTAAATTTGCGTATGCAATAGGATTCTCCACGGCTATCATTGCCCTTCTTTTTATGATAGCCCTGTCAGCCTACTTCTGCAACCGCGCCAACCAATCCACCAACCCTTCATCACCGCATGGAACCACCTCCACTGACCAGGACTCGGTGGCCAGGGAACAAGGCCTTGACGAGGAGACCCTGAGTAGCTACCCCGAGCTCCTTTATTCACAAGCAAAGCTCCATAAGCCTGACTCGGTATCATCGACTTCGAGTTGTTCGATATGTTTAGGTGAGTATAAGGATACAGATATGCTACGTTTGTTACCTGCTTGCGGCCATGTTTTTCATCTAAAGTGTGTTGATTCCTGGCTGAGGCTGCATCCTACTTGCCCTATTTGTCGAAACTCTCCTGCGCCAACTCCGCTTGCTACTCCTCTGGCAGAAGTGACGCCCTTGGCAATATGCTAAGGGTGTGATCCAAGGTTTCCCGTTAGCAATTAGCATGCATTAGATTTTGTACAGATTGAAACAACCTTTTTTCTTTGGTATCTAAATGAAACAATTTTCTCTTATAACAAAAGTAATTCGATTAATTATTTGAAATGAGAGATTTAATCTTAATAGGTAAAGTGTAGGGCTTGAGCGATCTAGTAATTCTTAGTCTGAATCTTATTTTCTTTAGATAAATTAGGCAATTGATTAGTTGAACAAGGTACAAAAGAGTTTTGACTCTAAATGGTGTTAATTAGCTTCACCGCCATTCAAATTATGGAGCTATTGTCCAATCATAGTTTTTATTGGCTAGTTCAAATTAAGGACGAAAACATAAAATTGAAAGATTGTTATTGTAATGTTTATATATTTACTGAATTGGAAATGGCTTTTCTCTAGGTTAGGACGAAAGCTTATGAAGAACATATAGCGATTCAAGACATGATAATTCCATTTTTTTGACTTTGCATACGGAAATAAACAATGAATGGCACACATAAAGGATAAGTGAAAAGAGTTGACGATAGACATCAAAAGTGAGTTGGGCAATCCATAAAAGAAAAAGCCACAAATAGTTTAATGCAATTGCAAGCACTGCAGAGGATAAAGTGGCCAAGGTTAGTCTTGGATCTCTTTCATCAAATTAGTAGAAAATGAGTTAGTACAATATCTTAATGTTATGACAAAAAAACTCTAAATTTTTTTCTATATTTAAGAAAAACCCAACTCCCTAACAAACAAAAGCCCTTCTCTCGTTTTTTATTGCTTTTTTATTATGTTTTTGTGGTGGGCTGATTATGTGGTTGAAAGGGCTTTCATATCCTTAAATATAATAGATAAATCTATGAATTAGAAGAGTTCTAATCTAGGAGACTTGATTTTATTGATAACAATCTCAACATGACTTAATCATAGTCATAGAATCTCAATTGAAATAAAAAATATTAAAAATGAGATTTACCTAATTAAAATATTTAAAGCAAAAAGTAAAGTAGAAATCAAAATGAAAAATAAAAATGTTCATATGCTAATTGTATTACTAGTTCCAAAAAACGGGTTATTGAGTGCAAAACAGAACCGTTAGTCATTATTGGAGGCAGAAAACGACTCAAGAGAGAAGATAACGTCGGGTGGACTTTTGTCCCCCTTGTAACGTGTTTGTGTTTTTAACGCCGTTAGAATGAGAACTTTTCTATCTGATTTGGAAAAATCCGAAGTGGAGGAATACGATGCCATGATGTGATACTATGGAATAGGCCCAAATGTGAAGACCTATTTATGTAACTAAATTGTCCTACTATATCAAATATGTAGGATAAAAACACAAAGTAAAATATTAATTTTTCCTAATTTATGCCATTTTTCTCAGATTATTTATGCAAAAATTCCAATATTAGTAAAAATTTTCATTACAAAGTTGACAAGTTGGATTAAATTAAACATAAAAAATAGTGACATGTTAAAATAATTGATAAGAAGTCCAATTTTTTTTCTCTATTTTTATTGTTTCCTTTTCCTTTTCCTTTTCTTTCTTCTTCTTAGTCCTTGTTTAGTTTGCCATTTGCAAACTTTCTTGACCGTATTGGACATTCGAACTGACACCGACCTTGATGAGGAAAGTCATGCAAACAATTTAATTACAAAACAAAAAATTAAAATCTTTTCTCTCAAGTAAGAGCAATATTTGTTTGTTTGATTATGTAGATTATCTTAATTAATAGGTAGAAGATTACTATAGTTTTAAAAACTTTTGATGTCGAAAGCAAGAGGTTACAACACTTTGTGTATTAAATCTTCTTCCCACCGAGATTAGATTGTTTAAAACCTCAAGTTGTTCAAGTATACAGCTTCTAATGATGATTCACACAGATTCCAAAGCTGAATAACACCAATTAATGATTGGGATTTGCTTTTGTTGCCAGGCTTAGTGCTAGTTAGCCACGAGAGGTTCTAATTTTTCACTCTTAAGTATCTTACATATGTGTTAGGCACCTCTTAAGTGCAATATAAACATCTATTTATAATGGCAAAGTAGGTTTAACACAACTTTTGTGCTAATTATAAAATTACTCCAATTTAATTTAACATATTTAATTAAGTCTTTGAAATTTAAAGTTTCTTTTCAATTAAGAGTCTATTTGGCTTAGCTTTTTTTTTTTAAAGCTTAGAGCTATGATGAAAAATAATAGCTTTTAAAATTAAATTAAAGATATTTGGTAAAATAATTTATATAAGCTCTAATTTTAGTTAAAATTGCCATAAAAGTTATTTAACAAATAACTTTCTATTAATTATGAATTCCTTTGTTCACAATGAAAAAAAAAAGTTAACTTCATTTTTTTATCTATTTAAAAAAATTTTGGAAATGTAAAAAGTATTTTTATATAACATAGAAAAAGAAGGGTATTTTTTGAGAGGATAATATTGGAATTACTTTTAATAGATGAACATATTTTTTAAAGAAGAAAAAATTCTTGAAAAGTTGTTATGTTTTTAAAAGAAGATAAGAGAAAAGCTTTTCTCTAGAGTTTTTTTCTGAAACTCCTTTTTTTTTTAGATTTTGCTTTTTAAAAGAAGTTTTATTTTTTTAAAACTTTTTAAAATCCTGGTTAGCTCAACTTTTACTTTTAAGAGGTAGATAAACTAAAAAAAGATCAAACAAAATAAGCACTAAGTCTAACTTAATCCTTAATTTTACATTCTTACTTATCATTTTTTATGTGTGAGACCTATTAAGCTTTTAACATGTTGGTAATAAAATATAAATTACAATAAAAATTGTCACATCCCATTTTTTGGACTAATCTTGACTAGCGTATAGATCCCGACGGTATAGCCTACTAGGCCTAAACAAGCTTTTTTATCTCAATCCTACATTCATTAATCAATCACATATGGCTTGTTTGCCAACATCATCATCATACATGCTTAGAATATTAATCAACATAAGCGTAGACATTCATGTATAGGCGTAAACACACAATTATGGACTACTTAACATAAACTGTGTTCATTTTCATTCATAGTCTTTGTATGCTGTACAATATATATTAATTTTGGAAAGACATTTCAGGTGCTTAAAAAGGCTCACAAGCCATCATTCATATCATTCACATCATTTAATAAAAGTAACTTGCCATGCAATGGCTTAACAATCTAGTACCAACAAATATGTATGAATAGAAATGTAAGATCGACTCTTCAAGCAAAATATGACTTGACTCCCTAAGCTTTAAGAGGCTACTATGTCACCTACCAAAGGAAGAACGGATCACACTTTCGTGACATGGGTTCTCAGCATCTATCACCGATGCAACAAAATGGGAAAAACTAATGTGTGAGTCACAAAGACTTCATAAGTGGATATGGGAAGGGGACAAGTCAAGGGGTTAGAGCTTTTGCACAAAGAAACTTTTATATAGACATGCACATATGATCTTTCAAATATGTATAATGAACTTGTACGAGAATAATTATGCTTTCAAACAACCTTCATAAATTCTTAGAGAATGCGCCATTGTTGAAGTGAAGGAGGATATCATGGTCCCAACGAGGAATGATGTTAATCCCACATCGTATGCTCCCACTAAATAGAACCATAGATCCCACGTCGAAGCAAAACCTCTCAAAGGGGAGCCAATGGAGGATGTTATGGTTCTAGAAGGGAGTCATGAATCCCACATTGGCTGCGTACAAGAGTAAGACAGGATATTTCATGATTCACACCACCTTTAGCCTATGAGATGCCTTTTATGGGGCAAAATCGTGAAGCCAACGGGCCAAAACAAGCAATACCTTACAAGAGTTAGTGTGAACCGTGACAAGTAATCTTGTAAAAAAATTTTCTTCTAGGGTTGAAATGACTACTTTTAAATTTATATATTCTAGTAAATTTCTTTTGAAATAGTACATAATCTAGTAAATTAATAACTAATAATAGTACTACAATAATTATTACTGAAACCCGAATTGCAAAAGGATACATCCTACATCCAAATTCAGTGTTAACTGGTATTAATTTAGTATTAATACTAATTTGGCATAATGCTTAAAAAAGTCCTTAAACTATTCAACAAAATTCAAATAAGACTTTATTCTTTTATCGCATTTGATTAAGCTCCTGTAATTTTATTTTAGGTCAAATAGACCCTTATAGCTAAAAGTTGACTAATTGACATTAGTCAAAATGACATTTATCATTTTATACCCATATAATGCTGGCATGGCTCTAACATTGAGGGTTGAAATGCTACATGACCATATAATTATATCACATCAGCATGTCACGTCATTATCTATTATGACATGTTAGCTTGTCACATCACCTCCATGTTGAATAAAAAAAATGACATTTTGACTAATAATAATAATTTATTTAATTCAAAATAAAAGTATAAGAGTTTAATTGAATGTAATAAAGAAATAATGACTTATATGAACTTTTCTAAATAATTCGAGGACCTTTTAAGTATTATACCTACTAATTTAGTGCTATATACTAATACAACCAAATTAAAAGCTAACTTGTATTAATATAGTATATATTAGTCGATGTTCATAAATGGAAAAAGAACATGTTTGAGTAATTCTTTTTATATCTCATCTCTCATGTAATGTCATTTATGATTGCTTATTTTAAATAATTTCATAACTATAAAATTAGATTAAATAAAGGTAACAAAAAAAAAAAGAAAAAGAAAAAGAAGAGAAAGCTTCCATACAAATAAATTGCCAAATAAATTGAAAGAGCTTCACTGTCACTTTAACTAAAATGAAATCTTTAAATCCTTCTATTACAACCCTGCCACATCTGTATTTTGCTTCTTAATAACGGTTACATATCTTTGCACGGTAAAAATCCATCTCTTCAATGCCTTCATATTTTGCTTTTCTATACAACTGCTTAATCTTCCTCTTCCTCTTCCTCTCTGCTTCTTTTCCTGCGCTGTACAATGGCCATGCAGAGTGACTTTTCAACTGTGTTCTTTATTCTAGCGTCGGCAGTTGCATTTCGAAGTTGCTTATGTAGCGAGCGATACGTCGTGGGAGGCGCTGTTTGGTCCATCCCTTCCTACCCAAAGTTCTACAACGACTGGTCCTCTTCTATTATCTTTTTCGTCGGTGACGCTATATGTAATTCCATTCCGCACAAACTCGTGCAAGTGCTGAAGTAATTCTAGCAGAAAGAACCAGCACAGAGTAAACTTATTTAATTGCTTGGTTTTTTGTTTTTTCATCTCTCTAAATCCATTTAACAATGCAGTGTTCGACTTTGAATTGGGGTTCCACAATGTTATCCAAGTTCCAAGGCTAGACTACAAGGACTGCGTCTCCAACAATCCCATTAAAGTCTTAGATACTGGACCGGCAATCGTTTCGCTGATGGATCGAGGGGTTTTGTACTTCATTTGCAACATCTCAAACTACTGCGATCTTGGGCAAAAGGTCTCTATAACCGTCCAAAAGCAATCCACAAATCTTTCCCCAACTCCATCACCATCACCATCACCATCTCCATCTCCTTCTTCTATGCCTTCTGCACCACCTTTGCCCCGATTTCAGCCACCGAAAACATCGCCCGTGACATTTGGCTATAGCAATTCTTCTGAGGCTCCCGTACCTAGACGGCCTGGAATCACCATAAGCAGTGCTGTTGCTTCAATAGGAATGCTTTCAAGATGGCTTTCTTGGTTTTATTTGGCGATATTTTTGGTCATGGTGTGATGTTTGGTACATATTGGGACTAACTATATTGCTTCGCTTGGGCCTAATCATACTAGGAATGATGTTTCCAACCTGCATCATTATCAGATGTAAGCTTTCTAAATCAAGCAATTAGATCAAATCAAAAAGATAACGTCTTTGTTTTCTTTGTTTCTGTTGACCTTCCCTTCTAATATCTTTGGTAAATGAAGAGGCAAACCTGGAAAGGTTGAAAACATAAATGACATGCATAGGTGCCATGGCAATTTTTATTAACATGTCATTACCTAGTTTGCTGGGTTTATAGTTGAAGCCATGGAAAGGTCCATGCAAAACATATGTCATATTGCTTAATTATATGCCCACGCATTGAACAAGTCAATTTTTCTAAATTTTATTCAAACGTATAAATTGCTATATACTCCTAGTTACGCCAAGAAAGTAAATGTCTTCCAGCGATACCTTAGAAGTTTGAGTTCAAGATCCTAAGTAGAGGTGTTCATGGATCGAGTTAGGTTCGATTGATACTTAAAATCCTCAAGTTCGAGTTTAGGCTCAACTTGTCTATTTAAGTTATTTTTATAGTTAAAATATTAAAAAGATTATATTTATATTCATACTTTAATATTTTTAAATATATTTTAAATCTAAAATTAAATAAAAATATAAAAATTGCAAATCTACAACTATAGTAAAAGGAAGTCGGCGATGGTTCACTGTCACGTGGAGAGTTATTTTTTAGCCACCTGGATGTCTTTTGTTGCTTCACACATTTGGTGGGCTTAGGATGCTTTTTAGCTGTGGGTTTCTTTCATGCATGGGTGGCATTTTTCTTTTGCTTTCTGTTGCTTTTCTTTGCAACTCTCTTTCGAGTAGTTCTTTGGGGTCGATTTTGGACACCGTGCATGCCTCGATCTGAATGTTTTCCTAGCTGAAGTGACTTCTTTAGCTAGGTTTTTGGGGGTTGTTATGCAAAGGCTTGCATTGATGGCTTCGAGTTCTTCTTTACCTGTGTCATTCAATTTGGTTACGGTGTCAACTTGGTTAGTTTGGCTTGCTGAGTGTCATGAACTACGTTTCTTTTGTTTAAGTATGCGATAATCCGTATAGCGCTTGAATGGATGCTCCTACACAAGCCAACCAATAATTTGATTATATATGATCAAATATCAATAATAACCACAAATTAGTTTAGGGAAACGCACTATCGAAATCATAAGGCATAATGAATGCCATGTACGCAACCAGTGCAGCAACATAAAGGAAAATGTTTTATTAATATTGAGATAACTACAAAAGGACCAAGATGTGCCATCGTCAGGCCATAGGGGCAACCCTAGATGGTTTGCTAAAAACATACCTTTACTAGTGAGGCAGCTCAACAATCAATCGACTACTCATCCGCTATAAAGAGCTAACAAGCTTTTACAATTATATCACTAAGTATCATTATAAGACATGAGATTAAGACATTTCTTTCCTAAAAGGTCTTCCCCCTAAAAACTTAACAAGTATTTCTAAATAAGCCATCAAGTGCCATTACAATGTTTAAAATGGGGACTGCTCCCCTGAAGGTACAAAGAACTTAGTCTCTTAGACAGTTCTACTTTGTCATAGCCCTATACAAAATTGGCTCATGACATCTTCCCCCACTCAATCTATCAATGTCCTTGTTGACTGGTTGACTTAGAACTCTTTGATCTTTTGCTTCAAGGTGCTGAGGTTGGCTTTTTTCTCCTAAGTGATTTCATCTATCTTCAAACCTTCCTATTTCACCAAGTACTCCTACATTGACCATCAGTTGATTATGGTCATTCTCTTTGCAAGAATCTCCTCTACTTGGCGTTACGATGATGGCTCTCATGGCTTGACTCTTGCTTCTGTTTGTTGTATTTGCATGAAATAGCTTCAAGTTGTTGATGTGAAACACTGGTTGCACCTTCATCCACTTGGGTGGATCAATCTTGTATAAGGTCTTCCCCATCTTAGTCGTAATCAATAATGGGCCTTTATACTTGCGCATTAGTCGTTTATCTCTTTTCCTTAAGAATCTAAGTTGTTTCGGTACCAGCTTCACTAGCACAAAGTCCCCCACTTTAAAGTGTTGCTCTCTTCAACTTTTGTCTACCCACTTCTTCATGTGGTTGGAAACTTTTTCTATGTAAGCGCAAGCAATCTCAGTGTTTTGTCTCCACTATTTAGCAAAGTTAAAAGCTTGAGGGCTTTTCCTGCTATAGTGTTAGGAAATCTAGGTTGTTGCTTAGTGCCAACTTTGCAAGGAGTTTTATTTATGGCAAAGCTTTTCTGTGAATTAAAACATAATTAACCCATATCTAGCAGATTAAGCTAATTCCTCTAGTTTTCCTATACAGAGTGTCGCATATATTCCTCCAACAGTCCGTTGAAGCGTTCCATTTGGCCATTAGTTTGTGGATAATAACTAAGGGAGATATTGAGTTTTGACCCCAATAGCTTGAAAAGCTCTTTCCAAAAGAAACCAATAAACCTTATATCTCTGACATTCATAGTGATTTGAGGAACGCCTCAGTATTTTGCCACATGTTTGAAAACTGTTTGAGCTATTTCTTCTGCCAAGTTAAACTTATCTACTAGGATAAATGTAATGTACTTTGAAAAATAATACACTACCACCCGAATGGTTGTCATATCTCCCACTTTAGAGAGCCTTACTATGAAGTCAAGAGAAATACTTTACCACGGTTTGGTTAGTACTAGTAGTGGTTTAAGCATTCTTCTTGACTTCTATCCCTCTATTTTGTCTTATTGGAAAATACGAAATGTCTTGGTATAATCCGTCACATCCTTCCGCATATGGGGCCAATAGTAACCTTGTTTAGTAATGCCACAATGCATTACCAACCTAGATGTCCTGCCCATGAAGCATAATGACATTCTTACATCATCTTTTGTCTCAGCTCTCTAGCACTCAAAACAAGTATTCGTTGCCCTTTTGTTAGTAGGAGTCCATTTTCTACCTTAAAAAACTTGGACTTCTCGCTTTCCACTAATTTCATTATGGCAATGGCTTGGGGATCTCATTTTCAAGTTCTCTTTAATAAGGTTGCAAATGTCCATAGTTAGTCTACTAGTTGTGATCGTAGCTACCACTCTAAGAGCTATGAATTCAACCTTTCTACTGAGGGCATTTGCCTCTTGGTTAGCCTTTTTAGACTTATGCTTGAAGTGGAAATCAAATTCGGCTACGAACTCCAACCATCTCGCTTATTTGGTTATAAGCTTTGGTTAAGTGAAGAACTAACTAACTGTAGTATTGTCTGTCCTAACTGTGAATTGGGACCCTAGTAAGTAATGTTGCCACCCTTATAAGCAATGAATTACAAATAAAAGCTCTTTTACTTGCATCGTATATCTCTTTTCTGCTTTGTTCAGCTTTTGATTTTCAAACATGACTAGATGTTCTTTTTGTAGTAATATTCCTCTAAAAGCAAAGTTTAATGCATTTGTTTGTACTTTGAAAGGTTTTTCAATATCTGGGAGTGCAAGGACAAGGTCCGTTATCATCACTTCCTTCAAGTCTTCGAAAGCTTCTTGGCATTGAGGTGTTTAGTCCCACTTCTATCCCTTTTTAAGCAATTTTGTAAATTCCAACGTTCTATTTTAATACTTTTCCACAAATCTTCTATAATAGTTAACTAGCCTTAAGAATGAACAAAATTCAATCATATTCTTAGGAGTTGCCCACTCTTTTAATAGCCTTCACCTTTTGCATATCAATATGGATATGACTTTGCTCAATTATGTGGCCCAAGAATTGAATTCAAGTTTGCATGAATGCACATTTTTCTCTTTTCACATAAAACTAGTTGCTTTATAGCCTTTGGAAGACTTGTCACAAGTGCCTTTGATGTTCCTTTAAGGTTGAACTGTACACCACAATGTTTTCTAGGTAGATTACCATGTACTTGTCCAAATAATCTTGGAAGACTTGATTCATCAATGTACAAAAAGTGGCAGGAGCATTGGCTAATCCAAAAGGCATAACAAGGAATTCAAATGCATTATACTATTTTATGCAAATGGTTTTTGGTTCTCCATTGCCCATTCTTACTTAATGGTAACCTGACTTGAAATCTAATTTAGAGAAGTACTTCCACAACCCAACTAGTCAAAAATATCTATTAGAAGAGAAATTGGATGTTTATTTCTTAATGTGGCTTTATTCAAAGCTTGGTAATCCATGCATAATCACAAACTCCGATCTTGTTTCTTCTAGAAAAGTGTAAAGGCCTTAAAAAATGCTTTTAAAGGTAGGATAAATCCCAATTGAATCAGCTCATCTAATTGTTTCCTTCACTTAACTAGCTTTGGAAAAGCCATCTTATATGGTCCCTATCACATCTCATTTTTTAAAGGGATCATGACCGGCACTAAAACCTACGTGGGTATGGCCCACTAGACCTTAGTAAGCCTTCTAACATCATTTTATGATCAATCAATCATGTTTGACTTATTTGCCATCATCATCATCATACATGCATAACATGAGTCATATAATCATAGACATTCGTACATATGTGAGTCACACAATTATGGACTTTTCAACATAAAAGGTGTGAATGCTTTCATTCATAATTATTGTACCTTAAGTGCTCATAAGGCCTTAGGCCATAATACATAATATTTACATAACATCATAAGAAATATCTTACCATTCATTGGCTTAGCAGTAATCCATAATCAAACATTTATAAACAAAAATCTAAAGACCGACTCGTCAAGTGAAACATGACCCGACTCCCTAAGCTTCATGACAGTTGCTATGTTACCTACCATAGGAAGAACAAACCACATTTTTGTGGCATAGGTGCTTAATTGCTATCAATAATCTACAACAAAAATGGAGAAAACTAATGTGTGAGTCACAAAAACTCCGTGAGTGGATACAAAAAGGGACAAGTCAAAATGTTAGAGCATTTGTATAAATAGAACATTTATGTAACCATGCATGTATGATATTTCAAATACGCATAATGAACTAGTGAGACAATAATTATGCTTGCAAACAAGCTTTATAAATCCATTGTAAATATGTACCAAATCTTTAAATCTTTGAGTATGTGTTCAACATGGTA